AAACCTACGCGCCTTAAAGCGAGAGATTACGATAAAGTGCGTATGCAGCGTGGAAGTACATGCACCATTGGAAGCAGTAGTCAGGGGCCCAAGGAAACGAAATGTTGCGTTTTTGTGGTCAAAGGTGCGCTAGTTGCAGCGTACAAGGCTTGCCATTCCTTTCTGTGCTCCGCCCCCAGCAGCAGCGCCCTTCGATTGCCAATGTGACGAGATATTCCACTTCCAGAGTGTATCCTATAACTTTTCATGGGATGCGTGATCAATCAAAGCATGATGCTTGCTGAAATGATAGAGGCTATCAGCATAACATGTGCAAACGACCTCCTAATTGGTTGCTAGCTCGTCCATTATCGGAGGTCAACGGGCAAAGAAAGGGGTCCCATTTTGCGCCTTCTTGACGGATTTCTTTGCTTTTTTCGCCACTGGGGCATTATTCAGCATCTCCACTTCCACTATGAACCCAGTCCAAACTTATCGTAATCCCTCGCTTTAATCTGCAAAGTGGTCCAAATACTGCCCGGAAAGCTAGAAAAAAAGTGGTAGTAGAGACTAGCGAAAGAAATGGATCCTAGCTCTCGTTGTGACTGCCGGCCATGATGCACTTAATTGGTCGTACCGCCTGAACCTCAATGCACCGCATACTATTTTGGAGCAAAACTGATAATTTTCGTAATATCATGAAGAGCAGCATGCTGCCTATATCTACAACTTCCCCTATGATCGTTTAATTCACCTTTTCCGACGGAATTTTGGCTTCCTTCTCGAGATCGCCACCTGGATTTTCGTGCTCATCAGTAGAAATGAGTAAACTTCTATCAATCGGGCTAAACTGAATTGTTAGACAGGCGAGATGGCAGGGTCCCTGAAAAAATAAATAATCAGCTTTCTAAATTTGGAAGTATCGCAAAGTGAGCATAATTTCAAGCGTATGTATGTCAGTCTTTCAAAGATGATTGTCAAAGATGAATACTGATTGTGTTCCTTTTATAAAGTTCATTTTTCTTGAGGCTACTGTCTATATCAACGGACGTGCTGTTTCAACACAACGGCTGCAGTATATCGTTCAAACAGCTGGAGGTGCAGCAACTCAATTGGCACATACACATGTTGTAAACGCTGTCATTGGTACTTTACCAGCGATGCGGCGGCCAAGTCGTTTACGGTCAGTGGTCATTTTTGAATTTCGTCGTATGATGTTGACCTTGGAGTATCTTCTAGATATCGACTGGCATCTACTTTTCTTATCGAAGAGCCACTGACGGCAGAACTAGTGCGCAGCATTTACGATTTACAGCCACATTACGTAGGCAGTCTTCAAGCGGTCGGACAAGAAAGAACATCTCTTGTTCAAGAAGAAAAGGTAGGGCACACTTCAAAAGGCTCAAAGAGTATTTCAAAAAATTCATTGTAGATTGTTCTTGCCCTAAACGGCATGGCAACGAGCGAGATGACACTGGCGAAAATTCGAACTGTGCACAACAAGATGGACGCTGAAATTTTGGCACCTCATGTAATGCTTCATGTTTTTTGCTTCGTTATTTTGACAAGATCAAGTTCTTCCCCGTCTCCTATATGTTGCCATTTCACGTCGGTAATTCACACATGTATAAAACCAACCTCACGATTGAAGAGTAACCGTTAGAGGCTCAATCGAGTGGGTGTGTTTGTTCGAAAATTCGACAAAAGTGCGATGAGGAAAATCAGTGGGAAAAAACAAAAGCGTCATAGAAAACCCTGAATTTCCCTTGTGAGGTCGGCTGTGGTATGACGGAGAGACACAGCGCTGCGAGGAGAGGGAAAATGCGAGAGAGTATGTCGTACGCGAGAGGGCGCAAATGGTCCGTGTGCGCGATTGATAAGGATGGTAGCACGACAGCACACACGGCAAAGCTTTGACACCGTCACCTGGCACCCTGCGCCTTAAAAACTCCTTTATTTCCTACTAGGCGGGACTACTTATTAGCACCTAATCTCGACCCGTGGCTTTGGAAAAGGATTTCACGATAAGGTCGGAGGTCGAAGAGGATGAAATATAGTAAGCATTAATCGGAAGACAGGTATGCACCCTAAGGGTGCAGGACGTTCGGCAACGAGGAGTATGCCCCAGCTGCCTAGCAAAGACATAACCACGCCGTGGCGCCCCTAATGCTCTCTCTCTCCCTCTCACCGCCTGGATCTAGCAGTCGGCGGAGAGAGGGAGAGAGAGCATTAGCGTTGGAGGGCAACAACGTTGAGAGTCGCATCAGTGCGGAAATCATAGAGCAGAGAATGGATCCCATTTTTTGGGTTTTGGGCCGTTCTCATAGTTTTGTCTTACACCTGCACTACGGATCACCTCTAACTTGATTTCTGATGGGCTTTGACCTTAACCGTTGAAGTGCTTCTGATGAAGTGAGTGAACGGAGTGTGATGCAAGTAAAGTTTTTCGTTTTGGCCATACATAAGCGATTCGAAAACGTACAAGATCACATCTGAGAAATTCTCCACTACCAGGACTATGCGGCGGGCCGCACGATCTGGTTCAAACACTTGATGATTACGGTAGCAACGGCCCAGAAACCTAGAAATGGTACCCTTCCTTGCCCGTTGATTTGCGCATTGATGCGACTCTCATCGCTGTGCCCTCTTCAACACTACGCTCTCTCTGCTATCTAATCACTCGCCACGTATAGACCTGCGGCGAGTGATTAGATAGTCGGTGGGCGTACCCCGCCAACCGCGCCAAGAGTGAGCCATGCTAGATCGCCGAGGTCAAATCTTTCGCTGCCAATTGCGTGTCAGTCCGCACCCTCAGGAGGTCCGCCTGTCTCACCACTAGGCAATTTTCCTTTCCTGATCCTTTGTTCCTCTAGTGGATAAGGGACAGTTTTGTGATCAGCATTCCGAATTTATTTATTTCTTTGTTTATACGCTTATTTGATTGCGCCAGTAGAGAGAACTTAGGGCACGAAT